TACCTAGTTATACTTTTTGAACATGTCAATTTTCTCTCCACTTCTAAATTAGAGATGTGCAAAAAAAAGATGTGATAACCATTAAAAATATCATAGAATAAAATATTTGAAAATAGTCTGTTTTCATTTTTGCGAGTCTACCCATAATTAAGAGGCTTAATGATATTCATCTTCATTTAGGAGAAGCAAGTGTAAAGATTGGAGATATCTTATGGAAATTATATTAAAAAGAATAAAAGGACACAATGAATTAACAGTATATATATTCATAATAAGATGATGATTATTATCAAATAGATGTTTTTATTGATTGGATTATTGAATGATTGATGATGTCAAGAAATAAATAAATTCATAAAAAAAATATAATTTATTGATGGTAAAGAAGATGACTCTAATAACTATTTTAGAGGTTATACCTTGGGTAGAAATCTGATATATGATTGTTTAAAATCTATTTGAAAGGAAGTTGAAAAAAATTTAACAGAGGATAATGGTAAGAAAATAAAAAAAATACTTTTGTATTGCATCCTTCCTCATAAATATCTTATAACTTAATCGATAGTTAAAATGCAGTCTCCTCAACTTATATTATGATTAACATTGTAATTTTGTTGTAACTTTTGATAATTAATCCATCTATAATTTTATTGATAATTAGATAGGATTGGGTTATATAAATTATACTTTATTAAATATTATAATGCTTAGATTATTAGCATGTACAAGGTATAAAAAGACATACAAATACTTGTAATGTTATGATGTTTTCAAATATGTTTTCTTATCCTAAACCTCATTTCCTAATCCCATCATATGGATTGTTAAGATCTATAAATGATGATATAAAAGAGAGAATGAATTATTAAAACTCTTTATAAAGAAAGATTCAAATTTATTTTAATTTTAATAAATCCTTCTTATTTTCTCAAAAACTCTATTAAATAAATCTTAAAGAATATATAATATCTAATTTAGACGAAATGAATATGAGACATCAAATTTTTAACATTAGTTTAATAATAATTCAAATCTCTTCTTATGTGAATTTTCTAATTATTAAGTTTTATCTGAATTGGTCGAATTAAAATAACAGTTGTATTGTAATAAAATGATGCTGCCATATCCAAAGAATTTGAGAATTTAGGTTTTAAATTTGATCGATTAATTGCAAAAAGAGCCTTTGTTCATTAGTTTGTAAATGAAAGATTAGAATCAGAAGAGCTTAGTTCAACAAGAGAAGATTTACCTGCTTTAATAAAGGATTATTAAGACTTTGCTACTCCTATAGTTTAAGATTAATTTGATGATAAGATTATTGATAATTATTTATTTATGAAACTAGATTATTTTTATCAGAAGAGCAATTCAAATTATCATAATTAATAGCATAATATATTCTTTCAC